TGTAAATGTTTTGCATGTTCTTCCTTCTAAGGTGTGTTTGTGTGTTATTGTACAATGATTGTGTTTATTATCTTTGCATTGTAATCCTAACACATGTCCATTGCTCTGCTCTTCCAAGTTTGCTTTATTTAGAATGAAATGCAGTTTTCAGACAAATCTTATGAGAAATGTATATGTGGGGGATTTGGGGGGGGGGGAGGTGTTTTATTTTGGCACGTATGTATTTTTATATTGATATTTTGATCTGCAGCCAGTTTTGTGGATAGATAAGCCTACTATGTGATTTATAATAACTGTTTGTTTCCTGCTGTAACCTGTGAAAGCAGTTCATTAGAAGTAGGTTATATAAGTAACTGAAATAAATAAATAAGTATAATGTTTTAGATTGTAAGCTCTTATGAGCAGGACCGTAAAAAGTGTTTAAAGGCTCATCAATCCCACAGCTTAATCTTTAATGTGCACCTGTATGGAGATCACTCTTTGGATGTGATGATCCCTCTGCACTGTGCTGGACCGGTGGATGCCTAATTGGAGGAGGAGCTGCTGCAGCTATATAACCCAGGCAGGCCGACGCATGGATTTTTTTATTTCATTTTTGCATTTTTCAAAACCTTGTGATAAAAATTAGATCTGCAAAATACCGTGCCTCTGATCAAATACTTTGGGGTGTTTACATTCTAAAAAAGGGTCATTTGGGAGGTGTTTGAACTTTCCTTGCAATTCAGGACCTTTGAAACTGGGATAGGTAGTATGGAAACTAAATATGACCTTTGAAAGCCTGAACGTGGTCATTAGATTTTGGACCCCCTTACGTGGCTAGGCTTCCAAAAATGCTCTCATATGTGGTATCCCCAGAAGTAGCAGAATGTGTGTTTGGGGTGTAATTCCACATATATCCATGTCTTGTGTGAGAAATATCTCGTCTCTGACAACTTTGTAAAAAATAATGTTTTTTGTAATTTTCCATAACATTTGTGGCAAAACATAAAATCTTCCATGCACTCAACATGCCTCTCTGCAAATACCTTGTGGGATCTACTTTGCTAAAAGGAGTCACCCCACATCCCATATACAGGGGGCCTAAGAGATACCATCAGCTTGTGACCCATTCCACCAGACTCCTAGAACTGGAAGAGGACATTTTTGGGGGGATGTGTTGTAGAAGAACCCAGACCACGGTATTGTGCGGTGAAAATATCATCCAACTTTATTCATCATATACATGTGACACTTTAACAACAGAAGGAAAGAGATAGATTGTTTACATTTCAAGGATCTATTTATACCATTTATATCATCTATGCTAAGAAACTGATTAAAAAATGACACACCCCTCATTAATACCAGCCCAGCCCACTTATGTAACCCTCTAAACCTCCAAATCCCTGTAACTTCCCAGAAGACACTTTCATCTTTTATCCATAACAAGCTGATTGGGTACAAGAGAACCCCCGAGCCCCTCCTGCTCCCATTCCCACACAAGAAGTCCATGTCACCATCTACAAGGTGAGAGGACCTGAAGGAGAACAAGACCATGACCACCAGGACCATAGCCTGACTGAAGCCATGCTCACATTTCTTTCTAATGCTGCTTCTATGGTCTACTCCAGGGGTGGGCAAACTTTTTGACTTGAGGGCCTCAATGGGTTCATATATTGGACCCGGGGGCCGGACCAAGAGTAGATGAATGATGTGTATGTGTGAATTAATATAAATTAAATTAAAATTTGTAACATTAAATGTTTAGATTAATTTAAGGTAGAAAAGCATAAAAAGAGTTATTTTACAAAACTTTTATGCCCCCCACTAGCTGCTGGCCGGCCCAGCCACTACCATGCCATCCATAGTAAGTATAGAAATTAATCCCCCATAGTAATTCATCCCCCTATAGTAAATTCATCCCCCATAGTAATTCATCCCCCATATAGTAATTCATCCCCCTATAGTAATTCATCCCCCATATAGTAATTCATCCCCCCTATAGTAATTCATCCCCCGTATAGTAATTCATCCCCCATAGTAATTCATCCCCCCTATAGTAATTCATCCCCCTATAGTAATTCATCCCCATATAGTAATTCATCCCCCTATAGTAATTCATCCCCCCTATAGTAATTCATCCCCCATAGTAATTCATCCCCCATATTAATTCATCCCTCATATAGTATTTCATCCCCCATATAGTAATTCATCCCCCATATTAATTCATCCCCCATAGTAATTCATCCCCCATATAGTAATTCATCCCCCATATAGTAATTAATTCCCCATATTAATTCATCCCCCATATAGTAATTCATTCCCCATATTAATTCATCCCTCATATAGTATTTCATCCCCCATAGTACTATTCCCCCCTAGTAAGCCACGTCCCCCCTGTGTCAATTTACTTACCTTTGCTCCGCGCGTTCCTCTCGCCGTGTTACCACGCCGTTCCGGTCTTCAGGGCGGACTGTGAGAGGAGCCTAGCTCCCCTCCCCTCACGTTCATCACGCTGCCCCGCCTACACACATCCTGACAGCCAATGTTTGCCTGCCCTGGCTGTTTTTTTTTTTTTTATCACGCTCCGCGGGCCAGATTAAAAGGTCCGCCGGGCCGTAGTTTGCCCATTGCTGGTCTACTCAGATACAGATTTGGCAGATGTACATTTGTGTCTTCAAGGAGCTGATCAAACATGATTTGTACTTGACCATCTTTTTTGGGGACCAGAGGTGACATTAGGGGTCTGATAGACCTCTTGTGTTTCTTTAAAGAGGACCTGTGACCAGCAATATGTTATCACATGCGAGGCTATTAACCCCCTATATGGCAATAATAAAGTTCAGAGAAAAAAAAGTGTAAAGTAACACACTGTAAACGAAAAATAAAAAACACAAAACACATTTTAAAGCAACCATGTGACAGGAGTCACTTTGGGTGGGGGGCCCATGGAACACAGCCCTCTTTGGAGGGGTGGGGAGACCCGTCTCATCTCCTCATATCCCTATTATGTGTAAGTCACCCTGTGCTTGTTAGGGGTACAGGGTGAAATGTTCTAATACTGGTGTGGGGGTTGTTCATTGTTTACTGCCATGTGGTCCCATTGTTCTATTGTGTGTCTTGCTTGGGAGCAAACTATTATGGGATGTATGTGTTTGTGTAGTGGCTTGGTGGGGGGTGTTTTCAGCAGCCCTCCGGATGGGTCTGTCTGTTGGTGTGTGTCTCTTGTTGCTAAGTATAGATTGCCACGCCCTGTGTCATGCTGCAGGAACATTACAGAGCAGCGTTGTCACCCTGTACAGGGAAGTGTTAGATTATAAGACACACAACAAGTAAAGCCCAACTTCAGCTAACGCTTCTACAGCAGTTACAGCAACAGGTTCTCTATAAGGTCCAACCCCCCATATGAATGACAACTGACAGTTGTGAGCACCCCCAGCAGTGTTATAGGATTGGCCCCAACCCCTAGAACTGCCATTTTTGCCAAAATGCTTGGACTTCTACAGGAAGTAGAAAAAAACAATCTACTGGGAAAATCAACTAATAATGTTACAAGGGGAGACTAGGAAAAACAAAAAACTGCTATGCGAATGACAGAATGCACCATATACGGGCAGCACAGTGGCTAAATGGCTAGCACTTCCGCCTGGCAGTACTAGGGTCCTTGGTTCGAATCCCAGCCACGGCACCTCCTGCCTGGAGTTTGCATGTTGTCCCTGTGCCTGCGTGAGTTTCCTCTGGGTTCTCCGGTTTCCTCCCACACTACAAAGACATGCTGGTAGGTTAATTGGCTTCTGTCTAAATTGGCCCTGGTATGTGTGTGTATGAATGTGAGTTGGGGACCTTAGATTGTACGCCCCTTGAGGGTTAGGGACTGAAGTGAATGTACAATATATATGTAAAGTTCTGCGTAAATTAACGGCGCTATATAAGTACCTGAAATAAATAAATGTATGTAATGATTTATTTTACTCATGGTACTGCCAATGTCCTAACGTTTCCAGAGACAAGAAGTGCTCTTTGCAAACTTTACCCCAAAGAGAGACCTGTCCTTTCATAGTCATGAAATTGAACCCCAATTGGAGGAGTTTCAGTTCCCAGAAGTGGCGGGAATATGACAGCACATGTAGAACTTTGTAAGTTCAGATCTCTTGCAGTTGTGCTGTGTGAATATTCTAAGGAGATGAGTAATATCTGGACAAAAGAAGACAACAAGGACATCCATTCTTCACCTGATGGTATCCCTGAGACTTTCAGCAAAACCAGATGGAACACAAGTGGGCAGCTGGACTTAAATGCTACTGTTGAATGCATCCCATAAACAGCAGAAAATCAGTGTTGGAAGCCTTCTGGCCGCTTATGGAGTTGCTTTTTCACTGACCAGAGACTTCTCCCTGGATATGGTCCAAGCTACAGACCTGCCTGCAAAGCTGTCATCTATAAGAGGAGATGAAACATGGAAAGGAAGCATTGATAATGCTTGAGTGTATCAGTGTTGGTCATGTATTAGCTCAGGATCTGGCAATGAAAAAAACATTTGGAACACATCTCAGTTGGTGAATGATGAAAATACATTACATGTTCAGTCAAAGCTCCTTAAAAAATAAAGATGAGAATCAAGAGGGAAACAGTTCAGTCATTGGTGCTTATCTAAAAAAAAGTCAAAAGGTAAAATATTCACAGACCTTCTAGTTGTGTTTCTGATGGACATAATCACTAAACACAATGCACTCAAGTCATTACATTACAGTTTGTTTTTTAGAGTAACATTGTATCTGTTCACTTCTTCTCTAGCTTGTGGGGTGACATTGGGGCTGTTAAACTAATGGACACTGGACACTACTTTAATATCCTTTTTCTTCATCTCTGCAGCTGAAATTGGTGAACCCTTTGATGTTAGATTAGCCAGACATTAACTGTAAAAGGCTTTGTCACATTCAAAACACTGATATGGCTTCTCTCCAGTTTGAATCCTCTGGTGTCTGATAAGATGTGACTTCTGTGTAAAAGCTTTATCACATTCAGAACACTGATATGGCTTCTCCCCCGGTGTGAATCCTCTGGTGTGCGATAAGATATGACTTCTTTGCAAAAGCTTTGTCACATTCAGAACACTGATATGGCTTCTCTCCAGTGTGAATCCTCTGGTGTGTGATAAGATCTGATTTCTTTGTCAAAGCTTTACCACATTCAGAACACTGATATGGCTTCTCTCCAGTGTGAATCCTCTGGTGTCTGATAAGATTTGACTTTGATGTAAAAGCTTTGCCACAATCAGAACACTGATATGGATTCTCTCTCCAGTGTGAATCCCTCTGGTGTATGATAAGATCTGACTTTCCCTGTAAAAGCTTTATCACATTCAGAACACTGATATGGCTTCTCTCCAGTGTGAACCCTCTGGTGTCTGATAAGATCTGATTTATGTGTAAAAGCTTTATCACATTCAGAACACTGATATGGCTTCTCTCCAGTGTGAATCCTCTGGTGTGTGATAAGCTTTGACTTTGATGTAAAAGCTTTGCCACAATCAGAACACTGATATGGCTTCTCTCCAGTGTGAATCCTCTGGTGTCTGATAAGCTTTGACTTTGATGTAGAAGCTTTTGCCACAATCAGTAAAAGCTTTTTCACATTCAGAACACTGATATTGGCTTGTCTCCAGTGTGAATCCTCTGGTGTATAATAAGATCTGACTTCCGTGTAAAAGCTTTGCCACATTCAGAACACTGATATGGATTCTCTCCAGTGTGAATCCTCTGTGTATAATAAGATCTGACTTCCCTATAAAAGCTTTTCACATTCAGAACACTGATATACGACTTATCTCCAGTGTGACTCTTCTGGTGTCTGATAAGATCTGACTTCTCTGAGTAAAAAGCTTTATCACATTCAGAACACTGATATGGCTTCTCTCCAGTGTGAACCCACTGGTGTCTGATAAGACCTGACTTCTGTGTAAAAGCTTTATCACATTCAGAACACTGATATGGCTTCTCTCCAGTGTGATTCTTCTGGTGTCTGATAAAGTTTGACTTCGATGTAAAAGCTTTGCCACAATCAGAACACTGATATGGCCTTCTTCTACAGTGATATGTTTTGCCTCCATTGTCCGGACATTGATACATCCAGAACACTGAAAAAGACTTCTCTCTCTTGTCCTCTGAGGCTGGATCAATGTTGAAGAGGAGATCCAAAACCATTTTATGACTTTTAGAACGTGGATATGACTTGTGTCCTGTATGAATCCTCCAGTGAACTGCAATAGACTTTCAGTCAATTGGGACACCCATATGTCTTATTTCCATGTGACTTTGTTGTATTCAGGAAGATCAACATGACCGAAAACTTGGTTCATCCATCCACCTGCATAAAAAAAAAATAAATATCAGAATTCTATATAAAGGACTAAATAAAGGTTCTGTTAATTATTAAAAATGTTTGTATCTTTATACATACAAAGCATATGTACAGCAATTATATAAATGTTTAATCAAATAGATTGTATTAATAAAGTTTCTAAGTGCGCACAGTATTCCCAACAATTCAGCCCAGACAATGGAGTCATACATTCTCACGTATAGGCAGGTTGTGGCACTGTTACAGATCATACAGAACTGACAATATAACTTGCTTTGTTTATGGTGTCACTTTTACTCTTTTATAAACAAATGAACAGAGAAAAGAAGAAACAGCCTAGAACAATTCAGCTGTACACGGCAAGTAAACTCCCCCCAGTACATACATAGATAGCTGACACCGATCAATGAGGCCCGTGTCTACCCCAAGTATTGGACTGTAAAGTAGTTACCTAGTAGTAGGATGGAACTGGCTCGGTCCTTTTTTTTGTGGATGGAAAAGTTAAACCTGTAAAGTCTCTGAAGACTTACCTGGGGGGAGCAAGACCCAGAATATCCAGCCAGTTCTGCCAGAGGACATACAGTATCTCACAGAAGGTGAGCACCCCCCCCCCCCTCACACATTTTTGTAAATATTTGATTCTCTCTTTTCATGTGACAAACACTGAAGAAATGACACTTTGCTACAAATGTGACGTAGTCAGTGTACAGCATTGTATAACATGGAAATTTTGCTTGTTCCCTCAAAATAACTCAACACACCGCCATTAATGTCTAAACCGAAGGCAACAAAAGTGAGTCCACCCCTAAGTGACAAGGTCCAAATTGGGCGCCAATTAGCCATTTTTGCCCCCTCCCGGGAGTCATGTGACTTGTTTGTTGTTACAAGGTCTCCCCAGCTTCTCACCCCTCTCCCCTATTACACTCATCCCCCTCCCAGCTTCTCAACCACCCTCCCCTATACTTATCCCTCCCAGGCTTCTCACCCCTCACCCCATACACATCCCTCCCAGCTTCTCACCCCTCCCCTATACACATCCCTCCCCCAGCTTCTCACCCCTCCCCCATACACATCCCTCCCCAGCTTCTCACCCTCCCTATACACATCCCTCCCAGCTTCTCACCCCTCCCCCATACACCTTTTATATCCCTTCCCCGCTTCTCACCCCTCCCCCCATAACATCCCTTCTGAGGTTTTCACCCCTCCCCCCTACAACCCCCTTTAACTTCTCACCCCTCCCCAGCTTCTTACCCCCCC